ATATATATATATATATATATATATATATATATATATATATATAAAAGACCCTCTTCAAGTATTCCAAAAAATAAATCTGTAACACTTCAAACAATTCAAACTAGCTCTACTGAAGAAGAAACTTTTCTCAAAACGTGTATAAAAAATCACCCTAGACGATTATACATAGATCTTTAACATTTTTCACAAACAATAAAAATAAAATTTTTGTACAATAGAAGAAACGTTAGGATAAATATGTGAGCTCACAAGGACAGTAATTTGAAGAGGTGTAAGGTGTCCTTATCCTGAGTAAAGCTATTTCTCGTAAGATTAAATGTCTGGAATATTTCCCAACATAACTTCTTATGTCTAAATGAAGTGAAGAAAAAATTGAGAAAAAAAGCAAATTGTGAAGAAAACAAAATTAAAAACAGTTTCAATTATTGATTACAGAGAAAAATAAATTATACTCGATTTCCTGAAGACAGGAAGGAAATTTTAAAATAGTACAGTCCACATCATCAAAATTCGCCTTACGCTGAACACATTTCGCTTAGATGAGACTGACTATTACTTTTGATGAAGTATCGTATGAACGTCTTTTCTTATAAGAACATTTTATGTCACGAGTTTGCGATGATTTAAAAAATGTTTGTGCTTTTGTCTGGCGTATCGCTGTTCTGTTATTTAAGTCTTATTAAATCTTGTGCTGTGTATCTAGCTAGACAATTCACTTATCGAAACGAACATCTTTCAACTGCTTAGAATGATCTAATATCCGAAAATACAAAAAAAAAGGGGTAAGTTCTCTGTCGTAAATGCCAAAGACAATTTAACAGGTGACAAAGCTTTTGGTCTTTGTTTACTGTGGGGGCGGTAAGTAGGCAGATTCAATAGAATTTGATAAAAATTGATATATTTATTAGTAACATATTGCAGATTTTAAATGATCATAAACGTACTGACTTTCTTGCTTTCTGCGTTTTGAAATTCTGCATGGTTTCATAATCAATACTTCTTGACCTTTTCAGCGAAGGCCCACCCGCTACCGTTTGTGCCAAGCAAACAGATAAGCTAAAAAGAATGGATAGGCAGAAACTATAGGATGCTATCAAAATTTGAAAATTGAACAAAGGACTGGAACTGGATTAGTTAGACGTGAGGAGGTTTGGTCTCATTTGTTTTGTTTTACGGCATATCAACCTCAATAGGTTATTTAATGCCGACAAAATTTTCTTTGCTGGTAATATTTTTTTCCAAAATTATTTCTTGTAATATTTTTCCCAAAAATTTATTTCTGGTAATATTTCTTTTTTAAAAAAATGTATTGCTGGTAATATTTTCCAAAAAAGTATTTCTGGTAATAATGTATGGCTGGTAATAATTTGGTAAAATATATTGCTGGTATTAAAATCTATTTTTGCACGTTTTGACTCCAGTTTGGGGGTTAACTATTTACTCATAGCTGGGACCCTAACAAGTGCTACCACCCCGGATCAGGGTGGACCTGGGAACACCAGCAATTAAGAGATGGCTCCACGCTCCTCAAAACCTTCTGATCAGAGGCCTTGGTGTTGGATGTAGTTTATAGTCATACACAGAACGCTCAAAATTTAAGGAATTATGCTGAACGAATTGGGAGGGGTACAATACACCTGTATACGAAAATTATCAAACTAATCTTGCAAGTCATTGCTAGTGAGTGGTCATTCAAATATATATTCGAAAATGGGCAGTTTAAATCTATAGTTTAGAGACAAGTTTAGAGGCTAAAACAAACTATACACAGTTACGTCAAGGGAATCTTCTAGAACGTGGTAAGTGGCGGTCTTAGTAATACAGTAAGGATTCAAATTAGTCATACGCAGATTTGTATAGAATTTTTCGAACTTTCAAATTGCAGACTTCAGTGAACCGATATGGAGGGGGATAAAAAGCTAATTTAATAGAGTGAAGTACTTTACTATCGTTGCAAGGAATGTGCACGATCGACTACAGCTGGGTGTAAGGCATTTAAGGATTTACAGTGCGAATCCAGCACTTGTTGACTTCTGAAGCAGAGTAAAATTATCAGTCGAAACAGCGCGAATTGTATTTTGTACTAGTCACACTAGAACGCCAATCGTTCTTGGGTCGGATTGATTTATTTTGTTTTACGATATATCAAAATCGCAAGGGGTTATTTAATGCCGACAAGATCTTCAGGATATATTAGTATGAACAGAATATGCATTCTTTGTAAGAAATCAGTTTGTAGATAAAGTTTCATTCACATATTTTTATAAAGTGGGGTCAAATGTATTGCTGTTATTTTTACAATAAAAATCTATTTATATACTTTCATAGTGTTTTGTTTGGGGTTGGGGTCGCTATTTCCCCATAATAGGTGCTACTACACCAGGTCAGGGTGGACCTAGGAAAAACAATTAAGGTGGTTTCACACTTCTGAAAACCTCCCGATCGTAAGCCTTGTTGCCGGATGTAGTTTATCGTCATACTCAGGACGAGACGTGAAGTAAAAAAATAATACTGAGATATGAATAAATTGAATATATATATATATATATATATATATATATATATATATATATATATATATATATATATATGAAGAAATTTTGAAAAAAACAAACAAAATCCTTAAATGTAGTTAAATGAAAGAAATGTCGACGTCTGACGTTTCGGTTTATTAAATCGTATTTGTCATATTGAACTGAATTGTATTTTGATGAATATTGTCTTGAAAAGGTTTAATAAACCGAAACGTCAGACGTCGACATTTCTTTCATTTAACTACATTTATGATTTTGTTGTTTTTTCAAAATTTCTTCATTCTGTCGGATTTATATCCATTTACACTTGCTTATATATATATATATATATATATATATAGCTTTAGGTTATGCTATATTGATGGGTAAAAGTGCTCAATATCAGAGATAGGCCGTATGAAAATATAACATTGTATGCTGAAAATAACCGCATTCGAATCCACAATTGTTTCTACTCAATAGCATCTAAAATAATGGTAAATGTAACCGTTACTCTCTCACAATGACCATTAGGATAATACTCTATACTATGCTAGCCATAATGCACCATTGAACCAACATATATAAATAGTTGAGCCAAAGCACAACACACATAGTCCGAATATTCAATCATGAAACAACAGATTGTCGCCACTCGTTGTTAACCTGTGTTCACTTATACACCAACGCACACACACACACACGTATACACACATGCATATATATGCTCCTGAAAAATTATTTCGGTTGAGCTCTCTGAGGAAGGAAATGTGAGTGTGTAAACAGTGACTATTGCGGCTGATAATGCAAGATTCTTCGGTAAAGCGAATCGAGTCCTCTCAATCACTGTGTGTTTATACAAAAATAAATGCGCTTAAAATCCACCTTCTTCTCTGCCGTACACCAACGGCTTAGGTGTAAAATCTCCGACTTACGCTAATTCAGCCGGGTTTCGATCCTAGCTAGAAGCAACCGGACGTGTAGCCACACTGATGAGCAAAACAGTCTGTCTGTGGATGACAATATATATATATAAGTGAACATAGAAGTCAACACTTAAAGGCGACAGTCTGTTTCATGCTAGATGCAATCGTCAGGCCACGGGTGCTGTTATTTTTCTCGGCTTTTTATATAAAAACGGGTCAGTGGTGAATTGTGGGTAGTCTATTTTGGCCGTTATTTTACCGAAAGTCGTTTATTTGTTTATTTATTTAAACTGTCGCCTTTAAGTGTTGACTTCTATGTTCACTTTTATATTTACACACGCTCTATCTCTGATATTGAGCACTTTATCCCATAAGTATAGCACATCTTAAGACTATATATTAAAAATTACTGCCCAAACCCAACCAATATATATTTGCATATATTTGTATGAGAGCAAAAGACGAAAATAGATAGATATGAACAGCAGAAGATATAACTTATTAAACAAAAATCAATAAATATATGCTTATAGTTGTCCAAGTAAATTGTTAACAGAATATTTCTTTCATATCTATGTCAGCTATACACGAATTTTAAAACATGGTCTAACTTCACATCCATATAATTCTTGATAGCTGACTTTTTCGCATAATCTATTATCATCAGCCATGAGACCAGTACAATGACTTTAGTAACATCTTAGTACCTTACATACATTTCTACAGACATTGCAAAGAATATATTTGCGGATGCATCGTATTTTGTGCTTTGCTGTCTTGGTCAGATCGACTTTTGAAGACTTTATGCACTCTTCACATGTCAGATAAATGTTGCCAAGGAATGCCTCATAGTTGATTAATGGTCTGGCAATATGAACACGCTGATGATTAGTTAGGCTAGAGTTTGACAAACTCGTCCAGCCTTCCAGCAGAAAACGGTGACACCGAGTTCACATTATCACCTTTACCGGCTATTCTCTTTGTTTTAGCCCATACATTCGCATTGTTTTGCAAACAAGAGAATTTATTATGCACTATCTTTCTACATTTAATTCTATCATATATCACAGTTTTCCAGGTGGAATCTTCAGTTTTACGCAGTGCCAGTGAATCTATGACACAATCTTTAGACTGTTTCTTTATCTAGAAAAATTACGATAGCATCTTGACAGTCCTTTCAAGCCTCACCCTTCTTCCACACATCTGATATGTGACAGTATGCATTACACTTCTACAACGTGTTCGCCTCCAAATAGGAAAAATAAAAAAAAAGATCCTATTTTCCAGATGCTTTCTAAAACTTCAATTTGCTGATGAATGTCTGAACTTCTTCCATTGCTGGCAAGTCATTCATCAAATGAAAACTGAGCCCTTGTATCATTTCAAGAGCTGTAGGGTGAAATTAAGATTTCTTGTTTAACAGTTCAGAAAAGTATTCTTTCCATCTGTTGAAGATTTTGTCCGACGAAGTATCAATTTTATTGCTATCTTTTGATCTCATTTGGATTATTCTGCTTGTTTTCGGTCCGAACACCTGATTTATAAAGCTATAGAGTTCTTCATGTCAGTGGTAACCTATATTTCTGCCATAAGGTTCGACCTATATGGAGCGCATGATGTGTTGAGTGTCAGCCATTGTTCGTTTTAATGCCTCAGTAAGTTGTTCTTGAAATTTTGATAGATCTTTCTGCATCATACGACTGCATATGTTGTTTTGGCAACTAAATCAGCATTCTGCCTGCTCGATTTCACCAAATCGGTCTCGACTCTTTTCAATAACATGTCAACGATCTCATTGATAGCTTCATATATTTTGTCGTTCGTCGTATCCAATGTTGACGTATAGGTTACTACACTCAAGGCATTTTGGAAGCCTTACTGTTTTCTGCGAACGACTAGAGTAGTTAATACCCATTCGCAGTTTGTCTTGCAAAAGAGCATGATAACTCCAGCAATCTTCATGATGTAGTGAACAGACAATGCAGATATTCTGCATATTTCGTTTTCCTATACAGACATAATCAAGATTCCATAGTCGAGATCTGGGATGCATTCACGTTGTTATAGGATCTCTGTCGTACAGGAAACGAGTGTGGGATATAAAAGAAAAGTTTAATTTCGTACAGAGGCGCCAAAAGTGCAGACCGCTCCCATTCTTACTCCCGAATTCATGTCTCCACTACCCGCTCCATGTGTTTACTGTCTGTAGTGTTGAAATCACCAACCAAAGCGGTTTTGTTTCCTTTAGAAATTGACTGGCGCACATTGCGCGTTGTGTTATAGAAATTGTTGCTTCTCATCATCATCGTCATCAATTACTAATGTTTAAACGCAGGATCTGATGATAGTGTATGTTTCCGTACGGATGCAGACGAAGCTTTGAAACAATTTTACAACGGATGACAAAATAATAGTTTCTCTTTGTTCCCCTGATATCCGACTTTTTAAAAAGTTAGTTTAGCTCCTACCAAGTTCTTGTATCTGACCATAGTTGACAATACGCGTTTCTGGAAGAACAGGTAATATCTACACCGTATCTATCAAGCCCTTTGTAAACCAGGACAGTTCTTCAAGCTGGTGATGAATCGTCTTATTTAAAACACATTTCATACATTCCAACACACGATTTGAAGTTTTGTTTTAAGTTTCTTTGATTTCATATGATTTCAAGCGCATCAAATGAACATCTCCGTGGGGCTGTTTGAAAAAGTCAAACAATTTTAACTCTCACTTTTCTAGTCCTTTCCAGGATTACGGATGAGCAGTGCTTTCCTTAAAAAGGTCTGTTCACCTTTTGAACAAACGAATATCATCTCTAGATTAACAAATAATTTTATAGCTACCGAAGGACGTCAATGTAGGGATAAGCAGCGACATACGTACAAACCGCCATACCTGTACGCGTCTCCAAGGCGAAAGCAAAACAGATCTTAATTGTCAGCTACGACCGTGCTTATAAATCGAATTTTCGTTTGCACAACACCGCAACGCCTAACATCAACAGTATCAAATATTTCAGATTCAAGTAGAAGCATGATATCCAATTTTGTCCTGAATCACGTGTTATATACGGGTTTTTTTTCTTATACATATATTATCAAATACTACGTGGTTCATCATTTCCATCGCTCTTCCCTCGCGTCTGGATACCAATCCAGGTATTTCAACGTCCTCATGCAAACATAAACATACACGCATTCTTAAATGTAAACGCATACATATATACATGGTTAATAAAAAATAAATATTCCGTTTGCATGGGATGTCAGTCAACCATTGAATATCAGGTGTGTTTTTTTTTTGGTTTTGCTAAATGTTTGGTAAATAGCTGAACTGACGCCATATTTGTATTGAAATGGGAAAGTTCTAGAAACGGTCTTTCATTCTCAAGTGTTTCTCGTTTCCTTCACTGTATCGAAAGTTTCATTGATGTCGGGTTTGGACAGATTTTGAAAATGGATACAACGTAAATATATACGCTGTCGGTTCATGCAATAACATAAACTCCGATGATTAATGACTTTAATTATTTAATAAAATTTGACTCCTTTTCTTTATCTAAGCCATTTAATCGCTTATTTTTCATTATATTTTCCCAGACATGTCATCATACACACACACACACACACACACACACACACACACATATATATATATATATATATATATATATATATATATATATATATATATATATATATATATTCCTTTCCAAAACCTATAATCATATCAATCGCTTTCTTAAGAAACCTATCATCAAACGCGCCACTTTCTTTCCAGAACCTTCGTTTCGAAAACCTGTCAGCCTAGCAACCACTTTCTTTCCAGAACTTCAATATAAAAGCAACCACTTTTTCCACAGTCTGTCATCATATGAATCAATTTCATTCTAAACCCTAACATCATAGCAATCACTTTCTTTCCAAAACATATCATCATAGCAATCACTTAGACGGAAACTATAAACATAGCAATCTTTTTCTTTTCATTCCTCATCATAAAAGTAAATAATTTCTTTCTAAAACATTTCATTAGAATAACTTCTTTCTGTACAATCTTCATCATCATATCAAATGTTTTCTTTCTAAAAAGCCTTTCATCAGAGTGATATCATTTTTTGCAAATCCAATCATCTGAGAATCCACTTTTTTCCAAAGGATCTTCTTCCTTTTCAGATTGTCATCGTAGTTTTTTGTTACCCATCATCATTGCAAATCTCTTTCTCTCCAAAAATTAACCTCATATATACCGATTCTTCACCACCCACCATCATAGCAACCTATTTTCACCCAAACTTATCATCATAACAATATTTGCATTCAAAAAACATTCTGAGCAACTTCCTTCTTTCGAAAATCAATCTTTTTCTTTATGTACCCTGTGTATGTTCAAGATGTAGGCTATCATGACTCTCCATGACTTCCTAACTCTTCTAGCTTTTAATAAACATTGTCGTTCCTCCATCTATTGCTAACTATGCTATGCGTTATTTTCCTTTGTCCCACTTGCCCTCGATCTGCCCCGTGAGTATCAGATTTCCCTAGCCCTTCTTTCTCATTATGTGCCCCAGAAACCTAAACTGTCTCTTTCTGATGTTAAATATAAGTTTCCTTTGTACTTCCATTTTTTTCTAAAACTTCGTCGTTGCTCACATGCTCGGTCCATGGTAACCTCAGCATCCTTCTGTAGAACCGCATTTCTGTTGCTTCAAATCTCTCTTCCATCTTTATGGAGATTGTCCAGTACCCATTGCCATACAGTTCCATATATATCACATGATAGTTTAATACTCTTTTCCTTGTGTCTAATGAAGTTTATCTATTTCTTGTACTCTGCTTAGCTTTTGGAATGCTTCTCTGGCTATCACAATGCGTCTTCGGATTTCAGTGCCACACTTTCTATTCACACTTTCTATTCTCTGTTAAAACACTTCCCAAATATTTAAATTTCCGTACTTGTTTGATTTTGGTATCTCTGATTTGCAGTTCGCACTTTGAGTTCATCCTTTTGCTAACAATTATGCTTCTTCTTGCAGTTGTTTTTTTAATCTTTTCTTCTCGATTCCCTTCTCTACTTTCTGTAGAAGTTTTTGTAGCTTTCTTTTTGTGTCTGCTATCAACACAATGCCATCTGCACACCTTATGCTGTTAAGATTTTCACTGCCAATAATGAATCTCGGTAGCACTTCTAGTTCTCTAAGAATCGCCTCACTGTATTGGTTGAATAATTCCAGTGAGAAGACACATCCTTATCTTACATACCCTTCAGTTTTGGATACCTGCTAAATTCCTTTTCTGTCCGTATGCAGGTAGTTTGCTGACGATAGTTCTTGCTTATTCTAACATCCTTCCCAAATTTATCAAGGTTGATGCTTCCAAAAATTTATCATAGTAAACCCTTTCTTTTTCAAACCTATCGTCACCTGTTTCCAAAACATACTATTAGTTTACCAAGACGGTTTCGATGACTTTTAAATAGTCTATAGATTTCGATTCTTACTGAACTTACCATTATAGTGGCCTTAATTCAAATTAAGCGAAACCCTATTTCGTGTTTGAAATAGCTGTGTATTTTTGTACCGCTCATCGAATCCCAAATGATCATGATGGGGAAGCAAACACTTTAAGTGTAAATTTGACGCAACTTCATCTTCCTTCTTGCATTTTCTTACTTTTGTTATTGTAGAGAACTAAATAAAAATACTTTATTATTTTTATTTCTTTTATATTTAGGCTCTTTTTCTCGGTCCTATTTCCTACTTATAAATCCATTTTTGCTTTTATTTTTATTTCACTTTTCTTTTATTCCTTTCTCTCTTATTTTTTGTTTTCCCATATTGCTTTCTTTCTTTCTTTCTTTCTTTCTTTCTTTATTCGTCATTGCCTTTTTTTCAGTTTTCTTTTTCAATTTTTATATCTCCATTTGAATCTCTCTACTTTTTCAAATCATACTTCCCGCTTTTTTCTCCGTTGTTCATTTTTCTATTTTATTTCGTTTGTTATTGATCTTGTTTGTAATTTTTGTCTCTATTCCTTTATTTTTTCCTTTCCATTCATTCTTCCTTTCTTTTTTTAATTTCCACCCGCTTTCTTTTAGTTTTTCTTTCTTTCTTTCTCATATATTTTTTCCCTTTCCTTTATTTTCATTTTTCACTAGAGTCATTTTTCTGTTTTTTCTTTTGAAAGTATTCTGTATTTGCTTTCACTTTTATTCATTTCTCTTCCGTGTCTTATTTTCCTATCTTTCCTTCCGTCCTTATTTATCGTGCCAAATTCTTGGATCGATTCCAAGAAAAATTGTTGTCGCTGGGCTGTTACCAATTCACTGTACGACTCATTCTGCGAATCGAACGAGGAAAATGGATGAGGAAGTAAGAGGAGTAGGAGGAGGAAAGGCAGTAGCACTAATCACCTTCAACGCTGACAAGTCGGAAACAGCGGACACCGACCAAAACTTTATCCGTCTTTCTTCCACTTCATGCTCCTCGCTCGTTCCTTGCTTCTCCTTCATCTTCATCTTGATCCTCCTTCAGCCGGTTTTAGTTTTGTTGTTATTATTATTATTATTGTTTGTTGTTGTTGTTTTTTTCTTGTTCTTTTTCTTTTTCTTGTTCTTTTTCTTTTTCTTGTTCTTTTTCTTGCTGTTCTTCTTCCTGTTCTTGTTCTTCTTTCCATTTACTTTTTAACTCCTCCTACGCTCAACTTTTTTCTCTTTCATTTTTTCATCTATTTTCAGCTATTCTTTCGTCTTCCTTATTTTCATTCTCTTTTTATCATTTGTTCTCTCTCCTTTTCTTATCCACATTCTGCTCTCTTCCTTTTTCTTAATGTCCATTTTATTCTCCGTTCTTCTACCCTGACCACTCCATTTATTTCTTGTTTTCAGTTCGTTCTTATCTACTTTCTTTGTCGTGTACTCATTTTTGATTTCTTTCTTCATTTCTTTTCGAAACCACATTTTTTATTTTCCTACCTCTTCAATTTTATTTTCCTTTTCTACTCCTAACCTTTTGCTTCTTCCTTTCTTTTTCATGCCATTTTAATGTATTTTTCTTTTCTTCTATTCTTAACATTTATACTCCTTCACTTTTCTCGTTTTACTTTTTTATTTCCCTTCTAAGTCATTTCTCCTTTCTTTTATCTATTCTCGTCTTTTTTCTCTTGCTTTGTGTTTGCCATTTTTGCTCATCTACTTTATGTTATTTCTTTAATTAATTTTAAAACAATCTGATGTCACAAATAACAATACATCTTCTCAATACTCCTTCACTCTCATCGTTATTAGAGATGCGTTGTTATCTCGATGCTTTCAATTTTTCATTAAATTTTAAATTATTTTCATCACTTTATAAGAATTTTTGCGACATTTCCAAATGTGCCAGTAATGATGGGTAAAATTAAAGATTTCCTACTCTAAAATCATATTATTTTTCAAGTATCTAATTTATCAGTCGGCATTTTATTTTCAATATATTATATATTACATGTGGATCATTCATAAAACCTAATTTAATCTCATTGATTTTCAGGCCAAATTTCTACGCAAATACTGAACACCTTTTAACATTTGACTTTTATATAAAGGTATATCAAAAGATTTTCTTTTTTAATCATCTGAATTTATTTAACATAATTAAGGCTCTACATGTTCTATCTTTTAATGATTCTACCTCTTCTGGAAGGTGTTACATGCTTGTGGACAAGTTCCCCGTCTATACTGCGTAAAAATCGAAAACTGGCCTTCAACTTCTGGGCTTTATTTCAAGAGACAAGTTATGGCCATTAAAACATTTGACTCAGTTTTAGGCAGTACGTTCATATTACTTTATTTTCCATCTCCTTCCAGAATTCGTAGATGCTGTTGTAGTGACTTTTAGGCTAAATTTAAAATAATCTCTCAAAATTGCCTGCCATTACAAAAAAAAGAAAAAAGAAAAAAGATATCCGTACTATAAGATCTGAAACAAAACTAGAACTGACAATGATATGGTATGTGTATGAGAATAATATTTATAATGTTGTTAGATATAAGCTTTGGTATGACTATCTGTAAAAAAAGGGCCCTAATAGTTGAATAAATTTAAATTTGGAGAAAACTGAACCGAATTTGCAAGTGTAAATTCTATAACTGAAGATAACACTACAGCTAAACGAAGAATAAGGTTTTCCTTTAATATATTCGCAAATTCATTTTGAAATTTAGAAAACCAGACGAACATCGGTCGCAGTCCCTAACAAATAATAAATATTTGACGGTTGATGTGAAAAATCAGCAAAATGTATCAGCTAGAGAATTTACAAGAAATTTCATCGCAGTGAATGAAGATATTTCAGAACATTTAAGATCGAATGAAACTAGAAACGCTGAATCGAGCTGGAATTGAATGAGGTGCAACAATTCATTAGTATGAAACTGATTCATGTTTTTTTATGAACAATATATTCTGCTGAAAAACATATGCGCAATGTCTGGATGTAGATAGGAGTCCGAAGCATCAGTCAAAATCAGGTTGTGAAGATGGTGTTGAGGGATAGCTAATAACGTTATTCGGTTTGAAGAACAGAATGTCAACCATTTTGCTTAAAATAACGCATTTTATTAATTTACATTTACAAAATAAATTTGAAGAATGTGATTCTATTGAACTTCAATCTATCGAATAACATTTATTCAAATATCTTGATCACTTTGGTGCAAGCTAAAAGTTTTCCAGTGTGGATAAATTTGAAGGATAAAAACTACCTAATTAGAGTAAATATAGAGTTTATGTGGGGGTATTCTGTGTGAATAAATGTACTTTTTGTATGTAAAATATCTGTGAATATACGGGACTTAATAAAAACCAAAGCAATGCCTAAATTACAATACAAAAACATCTAAAAGGACGTTTTAAACGGGTTGACAGAGGTTAAAAGTAAATATAATAACTTGGGTAAGACTGGAAATTCAAAGTGGAACACATTAAGATGGCTCTCAGGTCAAATTAAATCTCTAGAGTCACATTAAGAGAGCTCTGGGGTTACATTAAGAGAGCTCAAGGGATATCGTCGAACTAGATTCTTCCAAAGAAAGAGACACGAAAAAAGAGGTGAATTATAAATGAAATTTTCGAAATTATGAAAAAGGAACAGCAAATAATAACAAGGAGTGGTACAGAATAACAGATCTCTAAAGACAAACATTAGAAACAAATGCAAGCAGGCAAATGATGAATGTCTCAACTAAAATTCTGTAGAGATAGAAAGAATGAGCATTACAAATATACCATATATACATAAAAGAATAAATAAATACCATGGTTAGAGACATGCTCTCCGAAAGGATGCATTAAATTAGGGACTTCCAATAATCCACTGAAAAAAAGAGCATAGTGTGATGTAAAAAAGGCCCCAAACTTGATAAAAACAAAATTTTATTGTCAAAATGTTTATGCCATTATTAAGAAGAAAAACGAAAATATTTTTTTATTATTTTATTACATTTTTTAATCCTTTCCTTTGTTTTTTTTTTGTCAAAAATCTTGTTTTTCTTGCGTCAGTGTGTGTGGGGGGGCAAAAATTATTATGAAACATTTTAGCGTCTTTTTGCGGTAAAAAACATTGAGATGGGAATTTTTGAACAAATCATATAATTGTCAGATTTTAATGAAACTTTCAGGACTTATTCACAAATGAATGAAATTATTTTAGAAACTTTTTTTTAGAAAATTATGTATAAAAGGCGCTCACGTTAATTCAATTACTATTTAACGCTTAAAGCACCCATAAAACAACATTAGATAAACATGAATCTGTTATCAAGCCGTCAAACCCGCGAAAGACTTAAATAAACAGCTACTGTCGGATTAAAAATGTATGTCTGTAATATTTTAAACTTAAAGTAAATAATAGTTGTTTAAAATCATATTAATTATACTTTAAATTAGCTAATATTTCTCAAATAAAGTTTCAGAAAACTATATTTTATTTTTAGAAGAATTTTTAATAAAGAGAATTACATTGCGATGAAAGACTACTAAAAAGGGGCGCTAATCATCTATTTTAGAAAAAGAAAACTCCTTTCAATCAATTTAAATTACTTTTAAATTAGTTTTTTAAATACAGAAAAGTATTTTGCTTACTGGAAATATTAAATTTTATCTATTAGCTTGAAATTAAAACTTAAATAAAAGCTTCAAGAAAGATTTTTCCTTTTAAGAAATTCATTTTAAACCTTAGGTATCTTTTCTTTTTTTTTTTTTTGTTGTTGTTTTCTTTTGGGTTTTTTGTTTTTTTGTTTTTTGGAATTCCCTACATAAAATCAAAAGAGGGAACGTTCATAATAACGAAAAAGATTTAAAAGATGGGATGAAATTTTCAGGGAATTCTTCCAGGTCGAAAAAAAGGAAACCTACAAGACACAAAGCTACGAAAGGGGCTGAAAAATTAAAATCTGAGCTATAATTAGCGTTAACCAACATGAGCATCAAGAAATCGGTGTCAAAGAAAGCCGATGTAAATGAATGCTATGTCTATTGAACTTGTCCATGTCCATTAGATAATCAGTTGAATGAGCTTACATAACACAATTTATCATCCTGATTCTGATAAATAGAAAACTTAAGAAAATTAAAAATAAAACAAGAACAATGTAGTTTCGCTAAAAACATTGGAACAAGAAATACAATCTTTGTGTTCAGAATGATATCAGAGAAAGAAATACAAATGCTAAAGAATTTATATCTATGTTTATACAAAATCATTTGATAAGACACAAAGATCAATTTGAACTGCTAGGAAAACTTTATGTATTTATTCTATTTTATTTATTTACTAATGTTCTCCCAATACAAGATTCGAGAGGCCCTCAAGGCAGAGGGTTACTGTATGGAGTTGTATTAGCCTAAGAAAGAGCAAGAAGTGAAATTCTTGGGAAAGATATTAAAATAATCCAGAAGAAACCCCTGAGCATAAAGAATTTACTTGGAGAAACCCCTGTGCAAAAGGAATTGGGAAACTAGACAAACTAGAAAAGGGCGCTTATACAAGAATGCATCTTTTCACCAAGAGGAACAGTCCAAAATTCAAAAAATGTCAAAATCAAATTAGTACAAAAGATGAAATATCTTTAGAACATTGAAAATACGTCAACCCAATCCGAAACCTAAACGAATTATTAAGAAGCGAGAAAATTAAGTTAAAACCAAACAAAAGTGTTCTGAACTGCTAAGAAATATCAGCTGTCCGATATGGCAATGAATGCTAGAAATTTTACTCATAGATTAAGAGGAGACTTAAAGCAGCAGAGATGCGTTTCTACATACCGAGAAAATGATGGACGAAGATCAATGAAGGTGTTATAAGGAAAATGAAAACAAATAAAATCAAAACTAGACTTAAAATTTCTTGGGTGAATAACGTGGAAAGAGGGTTTCGAGAAATTGACACCCACAGAAAATTAAAAGGGAAAGGGGAAAACGAACGAACTTGTGTAAATAAATGGCAGAATAAGGAATGAAGAGGATATTAAAAATACAAGCATTGCTAGCGCCAAAAAGGACAGGAAATTGTGGAGAGTCATGACCCTCCACCTCCTGAAACAACAAGAAGAAGAATGGTAGGTTCAGGTAACATTATTGCTAATAGCATATTAAATAGAACCAGCAAACCAAGTTTAAATTACAGTTGAGGTATCCTGTGCCTATTTCGGACCATTGGCTTTGCGAAAGACATGGATTCACTTTTTATCCTCCCACAAGTTATGGTTAACCATTTTATATAAAAGATTCTGGAACCAATCACTTGCGGATGCTAAAGAGACAACACGCACAAATATATATATTTATGGATATATATATATATATATATATATATATATATATATATATATATATATATATATATATAGAGAGAGAGAGAGAGAGAGAGAGAGATTTAGTGTTTTATTAAAAAGTAAAATTCTATAAAACTGTCGATCTATGACAAAATAGCATGTCAGAGGAGGTTGTGAATGGCAATCAATCTCGGAGAAGAACAACCTCTCATGCCTTACAGCTATACAAATAACTTCGAGGATAAAAACTGAAGAAAAATCACAGTGCTGAAACCTAGAGTGTGTGCATTCTCAACTAAAGGATTATCTCCAACAGAAAATCCTCCCCAAACCGCAAGCTACAAGTAGAGAGTCCGATATTACCTCTGCTCACAAATCACAATGTCACTGTGTAAGACACAAGAGGGCTTCATCCTTTGGGAATAAGGAAAAGATTATTTTTCGTTTAAGCAATTTGGCAATTTCATGTTGAACAATCTGATAACTAAAATAAAAATATCTTTCGTTATACAGTTAGCAATCATATTTGCTCAATTCTTCATTAAGGCCTTTTGGTTGTGAGTTTTGTGAATTATTCAAACCATTACCTTCAGCTTCTGTTTATCACAATACTAAGAATCAATACTAGGAATCAAAGATTATATAAGCCCGAATTTCGTTAGGATTTTTTTTTTAATCAAGATACTCTTTTCCCCAAATGAGGTCGCTTGCTGTTGAATAATTGTTAAGAATTTAATCTGGCAAACCATTGCTATGGTATTACCCTGTCGTGGATTATACGACAATAAGATAATCCTGTTAAATAGCTACCCTTACTTCTAAATCCTGCAAGGAAACAAGAATTAACAATGGGATTTTAAAACGTCGACATTTGTCAGAGCAAAATCTAATACTAAACAAACATTTTAACACTGAAATGTACTACTTGGGACAACTTCTCTTCTAAACTGAAAAATACTCTCTATGTTTTTTTCTTCCTTTTTTTCTAATTATTAATTATCCATCAGTTTGTTTTCATGATATACGTCTTCTTGCTAAGGGTGCATTCATTTTTAGATATTTCTTTGTTTATCCTTACAAACAAGTATTACTGTTCGTTTGGCTTCCCGCTTTTTACCCATTGTTTTCTATATTTATACATCTAGCGATTAGTTGTCTCTTTCTCCCTCTCTGTCTGTCTATCTATATCTCCCCCTCTCGTTTATCACACTGTTTCACTATTTTTATCAACCATGAACTATTTACCGATGTTTATCTGTCTTACTTCTTCGGTATTTATTTCTCTCTCTCTCTCTCTCTCTCTCTCTCTCTCTCTCTATCTATCTATCTATTTATCTATCTATCTGCATCGTAATTCATTTCGTTCTTTTTTCTGCATTTTTCTTCATAAGTCTATGCTTTCTTGTTCTTCTTTGTTGTTGTCCACTCGCCATTTTTCTTTTCTCCCCCTTTTCTATATTTTGTAATTTATTATTTCCCTACTTCTTTTTTTGTTTTCTTCATTTATCTTCATTCGTTTTCTTTCTTCGTTCATTCTTTTTCACATTCCACATTTTTTGTTTTACCTTTTCTTATTTCGAGTTTTCTTTGTATATTTGAATTAATTAATCTTATCTTTCGTTTTATTTTCATTTCTTCATTCTTTCTTTATCTTTTTTTCTTTCTTTCTCTTCTTTTTTCTCTTTTACTTTTATTCGCATTGATGTCCCTTTCATCTGTGCGCTATTTAGGTCTTTTGCAAATACCATTCCTTTTTCCTTTGTTCAAATTTCTCCCTATAGCTTCTTTTTTCTATTCTTTTTTTTTTTTTATTTCTTTTTTTCATTCAGGTCATTTCCTTCTTTCTGCCCTAATCTTAAATGTTTCTTTTAATTTATTGTATATTTTTTGCTCATTTTATTATTAAGCTTCTTTCAGTCTTCTTTTTTATTACATGGATTCGCTTTCCTCTAATCATTTTTTATTCTATTATCATGTGTTTCCTTCCTTCTGACATTCACTCATATTTCGTTTTCTCTCTCGTTTACTTTTCATTAATTATTTCTTTTTATTCCTCCTTCTTAAGAGATTTCCGCTTCAATCATCTCCTTCATTTCTTTTGAAAAACTAATGAGAAAATGGCAGCTATCTTATTGATAACACAAAAGCAATGGCAGACGATAAAAATAATAAGCCTTTTCTACTTTTGCTCGTGTCTTACAAAGATTACTAAATGGTAGAATCATTCAGATAAACCCATAAAGTATACGGTTGAATATTTAGCAACACACCCCCAAGTTACTTACTAAATTGCATTTTAGTAATAACAATATCTTTATTAGGCTGAAAAATGAATGGACGAATTTTATAAAACAAACGACTGCAAAATCACTGTATATATAAAATTGAAATTCTGAGTACAGTGAATAGAATTAAAAGTACAAAATTACACCATTGGATTATCCAAAAGTGGGTTAATCGTTGGTTAAAAGAGTTGTCTAGTTCCCCGAAAATTGTGAGTTTAATCTGATTGCATTCTCTGATTCAGTGGAATAAAAACGGAAAACTAGACAAATTTGAATAAGGCTGGTGAATATTAACTCATAAGAAATATCCCATAGCAATCATAGAAATGGAAATGAGAAGAAACTATTTCCGGGATTGAATAAATGCTTCAGTTCAAAATTCCGATAGAATTACCGAGTATGACGATAAACACCTGGAAGAAGATCGAAGGTACAATTACCGAAACGTTATGAACATAAAAATGAAGATGAAAATACTTATCCGAATGGAAAGTCACATAATAATAGATTTGTTTTAAATTTCTCTGATTTATTTACACCAAGTAGTAGCTTGTCTGGATTTCTTGGACAATTTCTTTATAGTATTTCATTCAGTTTATTTTTCTTTCTCCGTAAATTCTGATCATCAGATGTTTGGTTGTTTTCCTAAAATAAAATGAGAAAGATAAAGTACCGAAGACTATTTTTCTAGCAGCAACTTAATTAGCCCTCTGGCAGGTAAAGGTAGATAGTTTAGTCCTCACTGTAGTCTTATACTCAAATTAGGTAATAACAATAGAATGTCTCTCTGTGGAGCTCTGGCTAGTAAATTTATCTTATAATCCATTGTTAGCGAGTTCGATCCTTAGTAAGCGCCTCACTTTTTCAGTTCTCAACCAAAATAAGGCAAATCTATTAAACAGTTACGTTTCGCCCCAGAGCAATTGTCAGCAATCTTGTCTTAATAATAATTGTCTGCGATGGGTTTTCACAGTGCCTGAGGTAGTTGAGTGTTTAGCATGACACCAGGATAGATATAGCACGCAATTTACACCAGACACCACTAAACAGGGTGCTCATTTAACACGGGTGTCCACTAATCTTGGGACTAGTCTCGCCACAGAAGCCGAAAGTTCGTGACTACACATCTGCAGCCAGTTTGAAAGTGTAGAAAAAGATTTTGTAATACACATGGTTATATAAAGAACCACCCTGGAGATGTTATGGTAGTTTCTCACACATCGCAGACACAATGTAAGATCCACGCATAAGGCCCGAGGCGACGGAACTCACAGTGCAAAATGGCCTAGAGTAACTGGCGAAATATTCAAATGAATAATTTTAAGTTATGAAGATTCAAGTTTCGTGATATCATTCTGTCAGCATCTCCTCTTCATTATAAGACTAAAATTCATGATTTCAAATAATCTAGTTGGATTTCTCCACAATCAAAATTGGCACGAAACACTCTTTCAGTTCCTTGTTCCGTCCTATCTGAGCTTGGAGGGGATTAACTGAAGCCTAATCGATAGATCGATCGATAGATAGATAGATAGATAGATAGATAGATAGATAGAATTAATTTGATAAAAATGCATATGAATGTGCATTTTACACTTCCTAATAGCTATTTTATGTGTTCAGTCAGTAGCTACAAAAAGCTACCACTCCTATTGTCAACCTTGACAGGGACCAGTAAATTAAAATTCTATAATTTTTTAACCGATGCTTGAGAACACGAACCTTTGAAGACCTCATTTATTTTAACCTTTGCAATTATATGCTGATCAACCGATAAATCAAAATCATCCATAATTCCCCAACTTCCTGTCCGAAGCCACTTACAACCTCAACTTCCGGCAATTGAGGAAGCCTTGTTTGTCGGCATCTTGCCTGAACTTGTCAGCAAATTTGATCTCTGTTTGTCTGTTTCCATGGGTTTGCCTTTTGATCAACAACTTCATTGCCAAAAATGCCAGAAATGGTTGAACTCTGCCATAATAGAGATAAAAGTTGGGAAGCGCGTTCAATCTCTGTTCTCGTCTGCTGGAAACTACCATCGCGAGAAAACCCTATTTTGATCGATAATTAACTGCGCGTCCTTAAGCGACATTTTCCTGGGGAAAAGTTGCCAAAATGATATTTTAATCTGAACTGTTCGTTGCATCCAATGAAAATCGACAGGCTGACAGTCTGCGAGGCAGAGATTTTCTATGTGAAGGAAACAGTGTATGTTTGTTTTTAGAGAGTGCATGTATGTGACAGAGCGTGTTAAATCACTTTTACTTCTTAAGACTTAACCGTGCCTGAACCGAAAATGCCAATAAAGTGAATTAGATAAAGTAAATATAGGTGTGAACCCAGATAGAAATAGAAAAATATAACTAGGTGATAAGTATAGATGTTTATTGTACAAAAACTGAAAAGCAAGTGTTCAAAACTCTGACAGAAATGAGGATCAAATATTAAAGTGAATAAAGTTTTCGTTAATTAACACAATTATTATTTCCCACTACATTTGATTCCTATTTCAATTCCCAAATCTTCGACTTTCAAAGTCACAACTTTTGCTGACATTTTAGTAAAAGCTCCACTCTAGCGTAACCTAATGTCTTATTCTACATCTTTCCACGTATTATTATTATTACTGTTTTGAAGAAGATATTCAAATTCTGAATCAAACTTGCCATTTACCTGTGAGTTCAAAATGGCAGACATATGTTCTGTTGCATGTGCTGCAGGGTAACGTTTATGAATTGAGGTGAGAATAAACTTTACTTGATCTCTGTTTTTACAGTGTTGTCTTTCTCAACACTCTTCCTACGGTTGTTTTGTTGATTTATTTTTTATTTTTCAAAAAGACAGATTTTCTAGAAAATTGTTGCTTTCTTATCCACTCTATATCAAAGGAAAATTAAATTATTCTTTAAAAAATCTTTTAATTTTTTTTTCTATTCTCAGCACGTGGCCTGTATAGGTTAGACTCAACTTACTGTATAACACAGGCGCCCTTGTGATTTTTGTGATTATGGCGGATTAGGTGTTAGTAGTGTAGATGTTTAAGTGCCCTCTGAAAAATACTGCCGATTGTAACGTTTAAGTGGACATAGGTGATGCCGGTAGATGACCGACGAGTCGTTATATTTCGACATCTTTATAGAATTGTAATTCTAATGAAACATTAAGTCTCTCTCTCTCTCTCTCTCTCTCTCTCTCTCAGTATCTCTCTCTCTCAGTATCTCTCTCTCAATAGATGTATATTTGTGTGTGTTGTCTCTCCTTTGTATCTGCAAATGATAGATAACAGAATCTCTATTAAAAAATGGCTAACACTTTGAATATGACCTGCAGACATCCCTCTCGCAGACTTTCAATCCTCTCTACATTACTTACAATGCCAAAAACAATGTAAATACTAAATAATGCTTGTTATACTGGAGGTATATCTTTGTCATTAATATGTAGAAAGATTGTAGAAATATCTGATATAAAAAGTGTGTTCACTCTGTAGAACTGAAGAAAAAGTGAAAAGTGATAGTGTGAAAATTAATCATATTAGCATTTACAAATTTTAAGCGATAAAAAATTCGATTTTCTGAAAGATACCAACAGACAACTAATTATTTAATTTTAAGAAAGTGTTCTGTATTTAATTAATGAAAGAGTTGACATTATATTTATTAAAAAAAACGAATAGAAATGATACACACAATATAAATAACGAAGAAGACGCAAGGCAAAAATGCTCAAACAACGAATGAATATATGTGAAATGGCGGGAAGCTACTTAAATTTCACTTCATTCACATGGAGTCAGCGAAGTGATTGACGCGTGGCAAATTCTGAAATTTGTTTTTTAATGCTTTTCTCTAGTCATTTTTTCTAAAAATTTTCTGTCCGCGTTCAGTTAATTGCGCATACATAAAATCCACAGATGCAAAACCCGCAAATATACGAATGACTGATATATATATATATATATATATATATATATATATATATATATATATATATATATATATATATATATATAGACAGAGAGAGAGAAAAGAGAGAGAGAAGGAAGATAGGGACAGTGAGAGAAAGGACAATGACAGAGACAAACAGATTTTTAACACGCGGAAACTTATATAATGAGTACTTGTTACTTTTGTTATTCGTTTCGTTTTTATTTTTTCCGCTTTCCAGCGACAGTTTGTAATCGGAATTCATTATTGAGTTGGGAAAGAAAATTTCGTTGTTGATGGGGGATCCTTCTTTATACATTTTATGCAATTCAGGCGTTGGTAGTGTCAGTAGTGAAATAACTCATCACCGGTTTTGGTGCTTATAAATAGTCAGGTTCAGTGCAGCGTAAATGTAGCTGGCCTTTGATGTTGCTATTCTGCGGAACGCAGCGCTTTCAATAATGAAGATTTATGGATAAAAATGGCACCTGGTAGCGACTTTATTTCCAAAATGTATTCCTGTCACCCGACAGGCTGTCTCTCCTTTTCCATCGCCTACCCTCGCCTTTTTATTTTGTTTTCCCTCGGGAAAACCTGTTGCTAATTGTGCACTTTGTTGATTTCGTTCCTAGATACATCTCACTCACTCTCTCTCTCTCCCTATTACTTTCTCTCTATCTCTATCTCTCTTTATCTCTATCCACATCTCTCACTTTCTCCCTCTCTTTCTCTTTCTATCCCTCTTTCTATCCCTCTCGCACATATACACACGCGCTTTCATTCTTACCAACGTTTTTCCCACTTGTTCTTTGTACTTTTTTTGCTATTTTTTACTTCTCTCCATTTTTGAAAATTCGACATCTTATTACTTTAGTCTCTTTTTTCTTCTTTCCATCTTTCCTTCTTCTCTATTTGTGCCTTTCTTTCTCTTTTTTCATTGTTACTCTCGAGCTTTCTCTCTGTCTGTCTGTCTGTCTCTCTCTCTCTCTTCCAAAAATGTTTGGAAGAGAAAGATTTTTGTGTCGCTTCTTTCTTTTTCTTCTTTCTCCTTTTCAAATTTTCCACTACTTATCTCTCTCTTTCACACACACAGACACACACACACACACACTCTCTCTCTCTCTCTCTCTCTCTCTCTCTCTCTCTCTTTCCACCTTAATCATGCAATCTTTTCCTTCTGAGAATCCTTTCACTATCTTTTTCTCTTTGTTTGCGTTCCTTTGTTTCTCATAAATTTTTTTTTATTTTTGTTAATTCTCTCTCTTTATCTGCCAGTTATTCTCATCCGAGGTTTCTCGCTTTTCTCCCACTCTCCCCCTTTCCCCCTCTCTCTCTTTATTCTTATATTTATTAAATTCCTTTTATTTTTCTCTACCTTCTCTCTAACGCTTATCTGATTCTTTCACTCCTATGTCTCTTTCACTTTCTATCTTCATCTTTCTTTTTTTTTGTCATTCATTCTTTTTTATCACATTGTCTAACTCAACGCCTTTGTTTTTCTTTTATTCTCTTTAAATTTATCTCTCTTTTATCCTCTACATTTTAACACATTCTTTTTCTTTTTCACTCTTTTCCATTTACTCCCTTTTTCTTTCTCATTATTTCCTTCTCTCTGTATGTACATTCACGCTATATTTCTTTCTTTCTATATCTATGTATGTAGGTAGGCAGGTAAATATGTATGTATAAAGTTGTTCTTTCTCTTTTCCTCTCTTTTGTTCGCCGATATTCACGTATCGCCCTATCTATCGATGTATTTGACTTTCCTCATTTCATTTCACAAGTCTTTCAACCTATTTCAATATTTGATTCATTCTTTAATCTTCTTTCTATCACTTCTCTACTTTTTCTTTTACCTTCACTCCATCTCTCTTTCTCTCTTTCTCTCTCTCTCTCTCTCTCTTCCCTTTCCTCACTTAATGTCCTCTTTTCTTTCAGTATCGTAACCCTAAGACCGCTCTTATCTAGCAATTTATCTTAAACTGTCGACATATCGTATACTTTTCGTTCTTTCCTAATTTTTCCATTACTCTCTCTCTCTCTCTTTCTCTATCTATCTATCTATCTATCTATCTATCTATCTATCTATCTATCTATCTATCTATCTATGTGTCTCCTTCACGTGATAATAATTGTCTTTTGATCAACGATCAACTGGTTAAATATTGAACAGCCATTTTTATCTTTTTGCAAATGTAACGTAGACTTTCATTATGAAGTAAAAAAGAAAAAAGAAAAAAGAAAATGATAAAAAGGTATTTATGAAGTCATAAACCTACATCGTCTTTAAAGTCGCTTCTGTAGGGACATAGCAGTTCACGTGATTCCATTTTCTGACAAAAGCCCTTCGACATAAAAGATAAAAAAAAGATTCTGAAAGAGTGGTCGGTAAAGAAAAATGTTCTTTAATATAGGAATCCTATCGGCCTCAAATGTTAGCAGTTTGTATTAAAATGTTGGACTTCAGAATCAGCGTTTCAGTTTCAAACCTAACAAAAAGTCACGAAAACTGAAAGATTATTTTCAAGTGAAAAATCATTCATGAAAATATGAAGGGAAGAAATAGTTTGCTATGTAGAACTATTTTTTAAAAGCAGAAATTCCGGGATTGAATGAAACATTTTAAATTATCGGCGCAGAAAAAAGGAGGCACATATTTCAGTACTTATGTATATCTGAAGATTGTATTGAAGCGTGAAACTGACTCACTATATCTCTCTGTCTCTCTCTATCTATCTATCTACATATATATATATATATATATATATATATATATCAGTTGCAACAGACATGACTCAGTGTGTTCGTAGTCTCGGTTGCGTTACAATATCTGAGTCTCTTTGAATGATATTCCATCCACTCAGTGAGATTCTCAGCCCATTTCATCCTCTGTCTTCTTTTGCCTAAGGTGGTACCTTGTAAATTGTCAGTGGAAAGACTGTCGGCCTTCATGACACGTGTACATATCGACTTTCTTTACTTAACTTACGTTATATATATAGTAAGATATCTCGCTATTTTCATAGCACATGTTCTGAGGGGCTACATTCCTTAGTTCCACCAGTACTGACCTTCAAAACTAACACCCCGCTTGCTGTGTACACTGAAACAAATCATTCCTACTCCCTTCGTATTTCATTAGAAAGGGAGAAGTTCCATGCGCACAGGATAACTGCTTCGAGGATCAGGCTCCGAGAAGATGATTCCCTGATCACTACAATCTTAGCATCTTCAAGTTTAGAATCACCCGTTATCTATCCTACATATCCTCTTAAACTGCACTCCTTACCTCCTACAATTATGTGCAACAACCTCAACCAGTAACCCTCTTCCTTGAGTGGCTCATGGGCCTTGAAATGGATGAACAATTATTAAAAAAGTTCATTTTTAACACTAGGATTCTCTGCTGTAATTCTGCTTTTTATGCCCAAGATTCGCAGATGTACAAAAATGATTGAGAAGGCCGATGCATGGAACAGTCGAATATTTGATTTCAGCTAGACGTTCTTGTCTTTGCTGATGGCTCTTAATTTTGTGACAACTGCCATTGTGCCGCTCATGAAATTATTTCTGTTCTGAATCCCTCTTCGCTGATATAAAATATTTGAACTCACTACCGACTTTGATCTTGTTTTTAAAGCCTTTCTCGTTCATAATAGATTTGTGTTTTCGGCAGTAATCTGAATGCCATATCTGGAGGAGGTTTCATCTAGCTCTTCGCCAGAGCTTCCTCTTCTGTGCTTGTTAAACAATCTATATTATCTGCGAAGAGTTGTGATGCTGAGACATCCAATGCTAACTGTTCGCTCGTGTTTTGGAACGGTGTCACTCAATGCGTTCCAGAATGATGTTAAATAGAACAGAAATCTCTCTTGGTGCACACAGATGGGGCGCGGAAGCACTTTATTATGAAGCCCTGAAACAGTATTGCACTGCTTGCGTGATCATACAGTTGCCGGATGGCATGCATCAGATTCTTAGCCGTGTTTAATTGTTCATTATTTCTGACAATACCTCGTGCCACACTGATAAATCCGTTTTTGAAGACTGTGAAGTATGTGGCGAATGTTTTATTGGTATTGATTATTTTTCGCATGGAACTCGGAGAATGAATATTTGTTTTTCTGTGCTTCTTCCACGACGAAACCCATCTTGTTCTACAGCGAGGATTTCTTCTACTTGAGGTATTAGTATATTTGGGATGATTTTCAACCTCACTTTACTTTACATGACTAATCAGACCAATAGTCCTGTAGTTTTGACATTGTTGGTGATTGTCTTTTGAAGGAAATGGGAAAATGACCGGTTCCATGTTGTGTGCTATTCGTCTGATTGCCAGATTTTGTTACAGATTTTTGTTAGCATGTCGAATCGTTGATTTACCACCATGTATGATGAGTTCAAGTGGTATGTTGTCAATTTCAGCTGCCCTGCTGTTCTTCAACCATTTTATTGCTGCTAACACTTCTTCATGAGAAAGCCATCATGATTTGAAGATTCTGAAATAAGTAGAACGTCAGGATTTTCCTTTATAGTGTTACAACTCACAGTACTTTCTCCATCTCTACATGGAGTCACTGAACTTTTAAGGCACGTTCCCTGTGTGTCTTGGATGGTATTAATGTGTGTGTGTCACTGTGTGTTTTCATACCAAGCAGAAGTTTACCATATGGAGATTTGGCGCAAGACAATATTTCCTATTCTGCAAGTTCATTCTGCTCTCCGATGTTGTTTATTGGTCGTTTCAGTTTGTTCACCGCTTTCCATGAATCTATAATGCTTTTTTATAATTTTCTTTGTAACTTTCTGTCTATTTATTTCAGTCTATTCATTATCTATCTATCTATCTATCTACTTCACTCTATTCATATCTATTTCAGTCTATTCATATCTATGTATCAAGGTGTGTGTGTCCCCACACGTATACTGAATTCTTTTCCGTTTCGTGTCAAGCAAGAGACAGCTTGGAGCAAAAGAACGCCTAAAACAAATGAAAGTGTGTCGCGATATTTGCAAAAAATGTTGCACCCTCTTGTATGTCGTCAGATTGCAAAGACATCATTATCATTTTGGTTGGAGATTTCAAATAAATCTGTGAATCAAAGATGGCAGGGGGTCCAGTAATTTTTCAGTTTCATTAAATCGTATTCATTTTTTGTTCATTATCCATTTCTTGTCTTTGGGGCGGTGGGGGGTATGTGCACTTTTAGCTGATATTCTATTGTAGGATTACGTGTCTCTATCTTATTAACACCATTCTAGGATTGGAATTTTTCACCTTTCCAATTTCTTTTTTCTTCTATTGCAACACTGACACCAACTGAAGCTTCCTTTTCTTCTCTTCTTTCGTTTTTCTTTTTTTTGTTTTCTTATTCAATTTATTATTATTATTATTATTATTATTATTATTATTATGCTGTTGTTATTGTTGTTGTTTCACTCTTTCACTCTTCACAAAAATAGTTGTAACTGGCGGTAAACACTGGAGATTATGTGACAGCAAATCTCCTCACTCTTCCAGCATTTTTCTTAATATTTTAACTGTCTTTAATAATTCCGTCATCTGATTATATCTTTTGCAGTTTTCTTAATTTGTTGTTTGATCCATTCCTTTATCACATCTTTGGCTTGAGACTTGAGGTAAAGAAATGTTTTTCTTAGAAAGTTATTGAGCGTATGAAATTGAGACAATTTTCCAAGTTCTTTTGTAGTGAAGGGTTTCCTAAGATTTTCTAAATGCATGTATCAGGATTCTATTTAATCAGTCCTAGTACTCCTATCATTACTGGCGTAGGATTTGCGTTTAAGTACCACATTTTTGCAATTTCTATTTTCAGTTTGTCTTTTTTCTTTTTTTATTGTTTTCTTTTTAATTAGATGGACTGGGCATGTCGATAAGGTATCACGTATGTTCATTGATGTTTGTTTGGTTTTTTTTTTATTACTATATCTGGTCTATTGGTTTGCATAGCCGAGTGATGAAGGCATTTGCGTTCCGAGCATGAGAACCGGGCTTAAATGTCACCTGAGTTTTTATTTGTCAGGGTTTACTTGATAATATCAGACGAAAGTCCGACCATTGCAGAAGTGATTGTAAACCATATCATGTGTTGTCTTAATCTAGGTATAGTATTCGGAAGCCATCAATAATGGTGCTGGATTCTTCTAGATTCTGATATTAATGACGTCACAAATCATTCTGACAGACGGTTTGAGCCTAATGAATTTGTTCAACTGTTGATCACGCCAGATTGGGCGATCATTCTCAGAAACGGTAAGCGAACTTCTCTCAGCATAATTACAGCAGTAAAAAATGTGTGGTTTGGGAAAATATCCCTCCTAAAGGAAACGAGACACGTCCAGTCCCTACGGCATTCTGTAGTAGAAAAAAAGAAACGGACGGAAAGGTCTCCCATCCGTCTACTGATTGAAGAGTCCACATGACGAACAACCAATCACCTGGAGTTATTTAATGACATATATGCCATCATTACATCTAGTTTAACAAAACGAAAATCAAACTGGATTATTATGAGATAACTTTCATAAAACGATGCGAGTCTAGTTAATACAAGGTTCATTAGTACTTTTACCATAATGGATCCAATTGAGTATGTGTGAGAGTCTACCTTTTTGTTTCCATGTCCTTCATGAAATTGAGAAATTTGTTTTTAAATTCCGGAAGAAGGCATAAATTTTCAAAACATTAGCCTCAATGCAAGTGATACTATTTTTATTCATTAGATTTTTATAGCTTTTTTCTTGACTTATTCATAACTAGGTTTATTATCGTTTACGTTTGGAAACCGATTTTGTAATTATTGAACACATATTTGTGTATGTTCTATTTCTGCGGGAATCCAAATTTACTTGTAGGTAATTAATATCTGATTAAATTGTAAGTGGGGATAAATTTATTGACAATTTCGGTGTTTATTCACATCTTCATCGTAATATTATGAAAGAAAGAAATTTTCTTTACTACAACTTACAAGATGAATTTTAAGAACCTAATCAGATAGATCAAATGGAAAAGAAAATGAAGCACATTTATCTATGCAGCTAATGCAACTGTGTTTATTTGATTGTAATTATTCAATTACTACCCACTTCAATGGATCCTTTACACTAGAAACACAATCTAAATTTGTTTATTTCATTCTCCTTCAATCCGCGGCAAACCAAGATTAATAAAAAAAAAAAAAAAGGATTGATCTAAGACTCGTGAGTGAAATCGTGTAGACAGAACTATTTAAAGACCACCGATTGTTGTCATCGTGACTGAGGGTTTGTGCATGCTAGTATTGTTCAAACTGTTGATGACGCCTGACACTTTCTTCGAGTAACTTTAACTAAGATGAACTTAGCGTAGTTGCATTATAAATCACATCTGGGCTATGTGCCTGATCAGGCGTCTGCAACATGTTATTGGCTAGCTTCTCTAGAAGACAGCTGTGTGCCTGAAAACCATTAGCCGACTATATTTTCATCTTAAAAAAATGAGGTCAACATCAAGCGACGATCAATTATAGCCGAATTTAAATGATCTGTTCCAAAGGTTTTCTCTGCGGTGACACTTTCCAAAAATGGATATCGTTTGGATGATTTGGATGCTATTATTTGCGATGTCATCAATAATTTTCATAGGGTTTTTCATCTTGTTAAAAAAAAAATGTTCTGTCTATTTGCGTCTTCCCTTTATTGGTGAGTCTTTGGCCAGGCGAATTTCGTTTGCAATCCACAGTTGTTATTTTTCTGCTAATGTTCGAATAATATTTGTTACTCGACCTATTCTTTCTTCCATCCGTAAACATGTCCTTCCACCCCCTTCCCCATCATGTTAACTCAAGGATTTCTCAATGTTTGGATTATAGGATAAAGCAGCATTTACCTCCTAGGATTTTGAATCCGGCCGCTAGCAGTAGTCAATCAATTAATACACCCGGGTCATCTATTGCACAACATATTATTAATAGCAGGATTTGTATTACTGACTTTAGTGTGGACCATTTTACTATTTTATCAAGGTCCCACTCTTTATATCATCTCAAGGTTCTGGAGTCCTTATATATCAGATCCCGCAAGCCTTCCCTCTGTAAACAGAGGGATTGTTTGCTGGGTCTGAATATTATTGGTCTCTAGTTTTCCTTGAAATTTTTTTCTCCGCCTTCATTAGTCATTTTTAATTTACATGTCTATTCTTTTATTTCCCAGGATTAAAATTGATAAGACTGGGACGAAACCGGTTGTTTTTTAGCTATTAAATTTACACTGATATGCCTTTTAAATTACGCTTATTCCTTGCTAACATATATATATATAATTGCCACGCGACTGTATTGAGCTTTTAGCAATGGAATATAGAATGACAGCATCTTTTGTTGACCGAGAAAAAGTAGATGCATATTATTTTAATATTAAAAATTAATGAATTTTGTGCGTTCAACATTCGCCATTATTTATGTTTGACAATGATAGCGCTAGTGAAGTCTTATGCGTTTTTTTATGATGATTGCCTGCACCTTTTAAGCAGAGGGAAGTACTTGAAAATCTGTAACAAACATAAAGCAATTTTTTACCTCGAAGTTCCTGATGAGAATACTCGAGTTCAATTCCCATTTTTTACAACTGGTTTACACAGGATCTTTATATGCTCTCAGTACAGATTATTTCAGCACAAGATAAAATCGTAGTAGAAATGTTTTTCATGCAATATAATGAATAGGTAGAAAACATCTGATGATCTAGCGGGTTAGAAGTGCAGTAAACTCCTCTTCCTAACCCTGGCTTTATTCGGGCAGGGAATATATGTAGAGAGAATAGTAGACCATACAAACGATGGCAATTTTTATTTCATATCTTTTCTCTTCTAATATTTTACTATTTAAGGAAAGAGTTGCGATCCTTAACGTTTTGTCTAGTACTTAACATATACACGCACACATATATATGTGTGCGTGCGCGTGTGTGTGCGCGTGTGTGTGTGCGTGTGTGTGTGCGTGTGTGTGTGTTGTAGCATACCTTCGGAGGATATTGGGAATGTCTCCACTGATATAAATACAGGTCTGCAGCTGAAGATTCATTGTGGAATTCAATTGACTCACTTCTAGCAGTTGACTAATTCTTCTACGCGTCGCTGGCGATTTTTATATATCTTAACAAAACAAATGACGTTACACACATTACGAATTGGACAAAGTCCAACAATTATTGGAATATATTTTATTGTTATATTTAATTTATATAGACACAAATATTTAACCAAATGCTCTGTTTATAATAAATAGTATTTTAAACATAAATAATAATAATATAACAAAACAGTAAAACAATCATTTGTTTTCGTTGATACACTGCGAGCAGATATGGACGGCTGAGGGAAATCATGGGAAGCCTGTAGTTTAAAAGCAGTAAAATCGACCTTGTTAACCCAACACTCCTTAGTAGCTAAAGTGGTATAGCACGTCAGGCTATATGACGGTCCTGTGTAGGATACAGGTTCAATTCTGTGAAATTTCTCGGACGTTCAAGCTGATAAATGTTAATCCTATTTATTATAAACAGAGCATTTACTTAAATAATTGTGTCTATAAAAATAACGTATAACAATAAAATATATTAATATATATATGTGTGTGCGTGTGTGTGTATGTGTGTGTGTGTTTCTTTTTGTGTCCGTTAATAAATAAGTATAACTTCAAGACTTCAATGTTAAATAAAACAGTATTTAATTACAACCGCAAATAAATACTTAACAAGCACAAAGTAGTAAAAGTCAACCAAAGATAATTAACCATTTCTGTGAATACCTTGTTAGTAACGCGGCTCGGCTAAATGTTCGGTAAATCATAAATCAAAATCATCAACTTACAATAATTCCCACTAATTTGACTGGGTAATTACACTCAATACCCTGACACCGCTATTTATACAAATGGCGAAAAATATATATTCACAAGTTCAGAGTATCACGCTCTAACCTCGGTGTTACTTATTTTCTTCCTATATAACACTATTTCATTAGAAAATTTACTTACATTGTCTTCTTTCAATTGTTCCTTGACTGCTGCTTGCACGTTGGCAAATTAAGGTAAAGTTTAGTGGTGCATGTCCGTACTACATTTAGCTCAAGTGCCATATGACGAATGAAGAAAACAATAAGGAATCTTCTTACAACTAATCTTGCTTCGTCATCGAATATTAATCAGGTATTAGCATGGTTTTCACAGTTAACTCTCATGCGTTAAAACTATCTGATGAACAATTTTCTTTTATTAATTTCTACACGTGTTCATTCTGTCGAATTCTAATGAGTCTATTTTGTTCTGTCTGGCACACACATACGCGCATACGTGCTCGATATTGGGTCTTCTAGTTTAAAAACTGATTCGACAAACAGTTTTGACTTCAACTGTATAATCTTGTAATGCAAAAGCCAGAAATGGTGGAAGAGTTATAAATGCTCAAGTAAGCAGAACATACAGTACATGTTGTCAAATGGTGGACTCTAATGGAGCACACACTGGCGGTGACAAGCCACTAGAAGTACCAAGATAAATAACGGTAGAGATTTTTGCAAAGTTTGTTCCCCCAGGAAAAGTATGTCTTAACTGCTAGACGGCATATGTGAAGTTTCTTCTCTTTTTTTTTTTCTTATCTCCGTCTCGTCTTCTAGGGGACGTTTTTCCTTTCTACACTTTTTTTTATGTCTTTTACTATCTCTATCTCCTCTTCTTGTTGTTCTTCTTCTTGCCCTTTTTTCTTTTACCTTATTGGTCATCTAGTTTTTTTTCTTTCTTTCTTCACTTTCTTCTCTGTCTCTTTTTTCTTTTGCATTTTCTCTTTCTCCTCTTTATTTTCTCTTACAAGTCTCTTACCTCTTCAATATTTTCTGCTTTTCCTTCTTCCTTTCCTGCTTCCTTTCATCTTCTTACTCATTCTTCTCTTTTGCTCCGCTCCTCACATCCAAGGTGTGGCGGAACAAGTTCAGTGGAATAAGCGAAATAGAAAAATCAGATTTCGTTTATGAGAGTTGGTACCTTAAGGAATAATGACTTGGAAAAAGATTATATTTATAAAATCACATGCAAATGGAGATAAATGAGCGTTTGGAAGAAGAAAAAACCTTTACAGTGCTCAATGTTATATCACAGAGCTATTTAAGTCAAATACGAGGATCATCAGTAGCCATAGCCAAAGGGAAGTAGAAGTATCTGGTATAAGAAAAGGCCGACTAGAGAGAAAGGAGTACACATTACGTTTTCTGGTATGAGGTCGAGATAATTGACAGGAAGCACATCTGGGGAATAAAGAAACTGACAGAAGCGGCATAAATAAACTTGTCGACCATTTTCATAAGTCGATCCAGTATATTCTTCAGCACTCTATGGTTTACTTTGCTTAGCGAAGGTATTGGTCATCATCACCCTAACACACCACCACCACTACCACCACCACTGGGTATAGTTTATCTGACAAAATGTCTAACGGTACAGCGTTGTAGAAATGAACTGTTCTGATTGGTTTATTAATGACCATTTTTCTATCATTAGATTTTCAAAAAGATCATTTTTTGTTTTTCATGTTTTTTAAGTATTATAGACCTAAAGTATTTCTCAGGATTGGATCTGCCGAAACGTTGTAGAAACAAACATCAAGAACAGAAAGAAGGATTTAAATTGTCACACGTTATGTAATTTTACCTACCAACATAACAAAATTTAGTCCGACGAAACCCTGTGTGTGTATGATAAAAAACATATACTTGCACATACATATATATTTTTTCTCATGTGTTATAAAAACAGTGCTCAATGTTATATCACAGAGCTATTAAGTATCTATTAGTGATTATACATGATACGCGAATTTCATAACGCTTAACGGCCAGCGAGTATTTTGCACCTGAAGACTGCGTGTTGGCATGAAACTCCGAGCCGTGCTATCGACGTGGGTTATTATGTATACTCACTAGTATATATATATATATATATATATATATATATATATATATGTGTGTGTGTGTGTGTGTGTGTGTGTGTGTGTGTGTGTGTGTGTGTGTGTGTGTGTGTGTGTGTGTTTCTTTTTAAGATACGGCGGGGGTAGTAAAGTTATTTCTACCGGTTCATGTTTGAGTCGCTAGAAATTCTACAATTTCGAATCTTGATTTTCAGGGGAAGTATATTCAACCAAATGTGAAGACTGCACAAAAGAATCCGCTGATCCACATATTGCCTGCTGTGGCTTTGTACTGGAAATCCGGTAAATTTGCTAAATGCCTTTACATTTTATTAGGATTTTAATTAAAACTTTTTCATCTGAAAGTGTGTGGACCCAAACTTTCTATTAAAACAGATTGCAGATTAAATCAAAATTAGAATTTAGATGCTGTTTTTAGACGTAAAACATAAATGTCAAATGAAGTATTTTAAGTCAAAATTATAAGCTGAAATAAAGTACTTAAAACATGAATGCACAACATCTGATACGGAAATGGATAAAAAGAAATTTGATGTTTATAAATATTCTTTACTCAATAAATTAGCAACATCCTAATGTAATCGACCCAATCTCGGATTTTCGCTTCTTTGAGGATATTCAAAATTTTGAATCAAAGCGAGGCCCGGGTTTGTGTTCATTTATAGAATATTATTTATAATTATTTTAAAACTTTTTTGTTTTCCTTTTTACTGTTTCACAGACACATTGTCACGCACTAAATATCTCTGCAATAAAACTATATTCGACTTGAACTGACTCAGTGATTTTGCTCTTCATTTTTGATGAATAAATTAGAGGTAAGAAATAGAGACAGGCGGTAAGAAAGAATAGAAAGAAAGAAAGAAAGAAAGAAAGAAAGAAAGAAAATTTGTTAATAAGATATAAAGAAAAAAACTGATGTCGGAAATGAAAAAAGAAAATAGGCGTTGTAATGGCACTATTATTATAGCGCAAGCTCACGAGCCGTATCTTGCCTGTATTCACCCATCTGAGGAAATATCAATAATATCCGTATTACAGAGTTACAAAGGAAATATAAACTCTCATGCCACGTTTAGATGTGAGCGTTTTTTACAAATCATATTACGGTAGAGACGGGGAATGAAGAATTTTTGAAAAGAATGACCAATCAGTGGCTGGAAGAGATTTACCAATCCATAAAATCTTTTCACCCCTATTCCCAGTTCCTACCCTTGAAATGACGCAACTTGTTTAGCTAGTTGATAAGAGATGCAGAGTAAATGCCAGGATGCTGGAATATAAATAAAACGATGTAAAACACGATTGGTTTCATGAAAACGAAGAGAATTGTAGGATTGTTTTCTGAAGATGAACTTTTTTTGGCAGACATATGTTCATTAAGAATATAATGGCAAGTATAGCGTAAAACTCGCGAAATTTGGCATCAAATTCTAGGATTTTTAGTGTAAAGAATACACGGTGGTAAGTAATCATCATTTCCGGTTTTAAATCAAAAGAACACAATTTCTTATCCGAAATTGTGAAAAAAAAAAAAAGAATTGCTTCAAAACTGGGAAATTGTTCATTTTACGGATCTTTTTAAGCTAGCAATTTCCTGATCTCTTTTAATCTCTCTTTACTATTGAACAAATATTACCTGACAATCGAAACTTAAATTATCACCCTATACGGCACTTGTACTATAATCCTGAATCCCGGAAAATGTCTCGTCCCAACAGTTTCAGATTATATAACTTTAATATTCATATTTTTCGATGCGAAGAGAAGAGCTTTTATTAAATAGACAATTTTAATTTCCAGACAAGGGATACACAGTAGAGTGTGTCAATGAAGCAATGTCTACTGCTACAAATAGTGGGAACCACCATAGCTTCTTATTTCATTCACTTAAAAACAGCACAGAGAGAAAGAAAAAGAAAGAAATATGTTGCGTGCTGTATTTTTACTGAGAATAAAAAAAAACTTTTGAAATATTAAAACTAGATATTTTTCATATTTCATGAATTATTCAGACGAATATCCTGATCTTTGTTCTCGTACCAAAGTTGGTTCACTATGTCGTGCTAGACATTTTTTTCTCTCCTGAATCTGTCTTTCAAATTTAGAAGTTTACCATTAGTCCATGCATTAAATATTGCTGTCAAATCTGGTTTGGTGCTCTTCCTATAAAATTAGAGATTCTTGATAAAATAAGAATCTGCAATGTTATTGGTTCTGACCTGGTATCTCGTCTTCAGTCATTTTCCCACAGCGGTAATATAGCTTCCTTGTGCCTTTTCTATAAATACTCTGACGAACTTTACTCTGTAGTACCTAGATTTTATGAATTTAATCTCAGTACTAGATTTGCGACAAGGTTTCATCATTTTACAGTTGAAATGGCTAGATCTAGCCGTAACTTTAATGCTAACAATTTCTTCTGTGGCATATTTCGGCTGTGGAATTTTCTTCCAGTTCCTAGCATCCCAGTCAACTTTGATTTTCAAAAACTTGTATGTAATGTCAATCCTTCTCTTTTGTCATTCTTGTTCCTTTACTATTCTATCTCTTTAATAGTATTTTTCTTTTTTCCCGTACTTCCTAACACTCAGTAACCACTTGCATCTTAGTGGCTTTATAACCTTGCTTGGGGTGAAATGATTAAAAAAAGCGACGTTAAGAATACTACGTGATGCTCAAAGACTACAGTGTGCAACGTGAGGAAGGCTAAAGAATCTATCGACTAAAACGTTACAATAAAAACAAACATGATGTAGATATTGGTTGGAATAATCCGTGGGTAAATGTTAATAAGCAGATATTCAAGTTATACCTATGAAATATCAGAAGAGATATAGATTCTTAGAATTCTTCCATTTCACTTTATAACAATCTGCGGACTAAGTATGGATCCTTTGGAAAGTAGACGGGGATGGAGGCTAAGTATTTGCACCGAGATGTTTTTTTCTTTTTTTACGGAGAAAATGTATCTGATTCTTTTCTTAAATTTCAAAAACACACTGTTGAGTTTCTCCGGAGTTTACAAGTCTATTAAATACTTACATACGAGACAGAAAAACACGAAGAAGGAAAAAGAGAAAGATAAAAAGAAAAATCTTAAGATCGTAAAAAAACGAGACACTCTGCGTTGATTTGTTTCAAAGAAAGATTAGAAATCAAAAACTACTTTTTTAAATAAACGTGAACAAGACTTAAAAGCTAAACTAATTTCAACCAACCAGAAGTTTGTTCCGGTTTTACAAGATATTGACACAATTTAATTTGTTTCAGTTCAGTCATTTCATGAATGAGGACTTTTTGGTTGAATGTGTGTGTATGTATATATGCGTGCGTGTGTTTTATGGTTCATATCTTTGAGTTTTTTGTATATTTTCTGCTCGTGTATCTATGTGTCTATATGTGTATATGACTTTTTTTATATTTATGCATCGTGTTTCTGCTACATCTCTCTCTCTCTCTCTCTCTCTCTCTCTCTCTCTCTCTCTCTCTCTGTGTGTGTGTGTGTGTGTGTGTGTATTCGCGTATGTTCCTATTTCTATGTGGCTGTCCGTGTATTTTGTTGGGTGCATTTGTATTTCAGCTTACCTTTTGCTCTTATTCGCGTGTATGTCTGTTCTTGTCATAACGTTTATGCATGTGTGTGGGCGTTAAACTTAACAGAAGAAATCAAGTTACAAAGCCTTTTATGTGAATCACTGACATTGAAAACATTTTCTTTTGTTCTTTGTTCCTTGTCCATTTCCTAATGTCGAAATGTTCGCTTAAGCTTCATGGTATCTCCATCCTAATTTCTAGAAAAACAATTTATTATTAACACACACACACACACACACACACACACACACATATATATATATATATATATATATAGGAAGAAATTTAATGTCTTCTTTATTTATCTATGTAGATATTCATTGGATCATTATTTTTTTCACTTCATTGTCTTTTGACTCGGCTTCTTTAATGTCTTTCAAAGTTGCTTCTATTTGAATATTTTTTCGCTTATTTGATTGGTTGGCTGATTCGATTACGATATCTCTGGTTGGTTGGACTGATTTTGTTTCTGTTATAATTTGCTTATCTTAATGCTTCGCCGATTGTTCACTGTTCCTGCCAATCGTCACAACAAAAAGAGAAAATGAACGTAGAAACGCAAATATTATTGCATTGTAATAATTTAACATTTTTCACTGGATATAAAAGATTCCGAGGAACATAGGTGAAGATCATTCTTATGTGGAAAATGCACAAATATTATATTGAATTTTGAGAAATGTTGAATATATTTTTAATAAGTTTTAAATAATTTCAGGAAAAGATCTGGTTTTTTTTCATGTGCAAGGGCAATAGGTACCTCCATGAGATTGCTAAAAAAGAACATAGCATGATAAAAAAGACTCCAAACTTGACGAAAGCAAAATTTTATCGTCTAAATGTTTATGTCATTATTAAGAGGAAAGATCAATGTATTTTGGGGGTATTTTTTACATTTTTTAATCGTTCCTAGCATGTCCAAAATTTTCGTTAAAAATCTTTTTTTTTTTTTGAGTCAGTAAAATTGACAGATAATCAATCATGTCAACCATTTTTTTTTCCATTTTATAAAAAAATGAAAATCTCAGTTTGAAATTCTTTTAAAAATAATTATAATTTTTTCAAAACTTATTTTAAGAGAATCAGAAATTATAATGTTTATTTAAAATATTTTGAAACAAGCATTATTTAGTTTCTGCGCCGAAAAGGTGTAGTTTGAAAATAAAACAATGCAGGTCATAACATTTCGCGTCACTTGACAGGGGATGAATGACGTATTGACGGATTACGTGAGGATAACTTATTCTACGGAAGGAGAGAAGTGAAATTATTTAGATTTAAGTGAGCAAATTATCTACCTCGTTATTTTTAAAGAAAACTTTCAGCGCTCTAAATTTTTTAATACTTAGCTTTCACCTTTAGGTTTACGATGCTTTATGGAAAATATATTATAAAGAAATTAAAATAAGACTGTTGAGAGTGAGATTAAATTTCATAAGAAAGGTATCTAATTAATTTATAGGTACCTTTCATATGAAATTTTATCAGAAGTGTGCATAAAATACTATAATTTTATGTACATTTATTACATTTTACTGTGTTATTTGTATTTCTATTAATTTTATTATTAATTTTCATATTTCATTTATGAAAAAATGCCATAACTGAGATTAATATAAAAATAAGATCATATAAATTTCATAAGATCATACTGATACTTGTAGGTACCCTTCTCAGTTGAAATTGAAAATCAAATTAACTTCTCCACACGTGTTTCGTAAAAGTAAAGGCCTTAACAGCGGAGAACAATGCTTAACTCAAATAACGCAACTTAATTGTATTCTGGTTGGTCTTCCGTACATTATAATTACAGCCCGATTATAAACACCAAAATTGCATTTCTTAATTACTGCGGGTTTTTTGATTAGTCAAATTATACAATTTACAACGGGATAAAAAAGGATCTATTTCATAAGAACATTTACGAAACAGAAAGCAGCTTTTAACTAATTTTATAATATTTTAACAACTTAAATGTAAAAATCTATTATAATTAAAGAAATAACAAATAATTGTATTAAAGATTCATTTTCATTGAAAATTTTTTTTGCTTTCAGAAAATATTGTCCATATTCATAAAAACAAATAAAAGCAAATAAAAGCATTTGAAATTAAATATTTTTGTTTTATTGAGTTTTGTATGTTACAATTCAGAGCTGATTTTCAGGTGGGGGGTCCAATTAAAAAGAATTACATGATTTGCTTTCCTCAAAGTTCCACATTTAACTAATATAATCAGTAAACTGAATGTGACTGAATTTCTAGAGTTCTCATAAAATTAGTTATGGGGGTAACAAATATTTATATTTATAAATATTTATAATAATTTCCATCATTTGTGAATAGTTTCTCAAAAATTCATTAGCATCCGACAATTATATTTATTTTTGCAAGTTTTCCAAAGTAATGCCTGTCATACAAAAAAAAAAGGTGCTGAAATATAATATAATATAAAAGGCTCAAACACTAATATTCTCTGGTTATAAATTATTACATTGGAATCGTAATCACGATCCAATTCATCAGACCTACAAATTCAAAAAGAAATCGGAAAATATAACTCCGGATATAAAAAACAAAATTTTAGTGAGAGTGTATGTGTGGGAGTGAGAAACAAGTGTGAGAGGTAAATCTTTGAAAACTCTAGAGAGAGGTGTAACAGAAGAAAGAAGAAGAGGAAAGGCCTAAAGGTGAAGGTGGGGATTAAAATTTAACAGAGAGAAGTTTTAAAGAGAGGAGTTAAATAACGGTTTAAATGAGTGATGAACAGATAAATATGAATTATTTTCGGATGCATAAATCACTACCGATTCGCTGACCTAAAATTAAAAAAACAATTACTGGAAACGTGTGGATACATTTGTGGTGACATTAGGCACAATAAAAATTATATGATCTAAACTTAAAATGCAGCCAATTAATACTGCCTATGCATATATGAAAATTTTCCGTCTGCTTTGCATTACCAACCTTATGTATACAAGAAAAGAGAAGATAAGAGAGAAAGGGAAAAAGAAATAAAAAGTTGGGGACTAAAAACGAGGGCATTTATGATGTAATGATGTGTAAACAAGAATAATTAGACAAAGCAAGTAATATCACCTACGGTTTAAAATTTAACATAAACATATAAAAATATTTTAAAATATTTAGTCTAGTAAAGACCTACCATTTATATGCACAAAAACACATACATACACACCTACCTATATATATATATATACATACTCGAATATACATACATATACATATATGTGTGTGCACATATATATATATATATATATATATATATATATATATATATATATATATATATATATATATATATATACGCATACACCCATGCTTATATATACACATACACACACAAACACATAGACATACGCAAAAAACTAATGAGAGAGAAAAAGTTAACAATATTAGCAAAAGAAAAGTGGGGAGCAAAATAAAAACGAGGGCATTTATAAGAGAAATTATGTGTAATCAAGAATAATTAGACAAAGCAAGTTACAAATTTAACATAAACATATAAAAATATTTAATCTAGTAAAACCTACTATTTACATGCACAAAAACATATACGTATATACACACATACACACCAACATATATACATACTCGCACATACATGCATATACATATATATATGTACATATATATACACATACACTCATGCATACACATAGAAATACACACATATACACATAGACGTACACATATGTACACATATATACATATAACCCGACACACATGCATACATATATATACATGCATACATATACATACACACTCTCTGACAATCAAATTAATTGGAGATATTTTATTGCTATATAGTGTTCTATTGCAAACTTCATCTTGTTTGGCTTAGTTTGATGCAAGGGTTAGGGTTAAATGGATAGACATAGTGGTAGGAAGATAGTGTTGCACCAAGTGATGAGAAGGGTCTATCTTCCTTTAAAATCAGCATTTGAACACCAAACATTTACTTGGGATTGACCCTCTAACGTTAATGTAAATAGGCAAACACTTCAGTCACAAGGCAACCACAAGACCGCTCTTAAGCACTGTCATCCTTTGAATGTTGACTCGATTTATGTGGAAGACATAAAAAGTTTTTTTTAAGTTGATAAAGGAAACGTAATCCGTAGTTAGATTGTAATCAAATTTTGTATAGATAGATAGATAGATAGATAGATAGATAGATCATCATGTGTGTGCAAACTAGAAACCTTTTTGTGACGAACTTAAGAACATCCAATTGCCGCTCTTTAAGTTGCCTCTTTTTTCACGGAGCATAATTCATATGCAGTGTTGATAAATACTTGTTTATTCTTTTAAAGTTCTTGCGAGTCAAAAAATTAAAGGGATGATTAAAATATCCACATATCCAAATCAGACTGGGTATATATATTTTATGGCATCGTAAACAAGATCTATGAAGCTTGCTTGAAGAAATTTTTGTCTCCCATGACAACGAAAGATAGAATCCGCACATCAGTCAATAAAATATAGCGTTCGAGGTCTTCTGTAAGGAAAAAAAAAAGCCTGGTCTATTTCGACCCATACGAAATCTCAGATTGTGAATTCATATATGGAACAAAAAAATAGTGTATGATTCTAGATATAATAACTGCTAATATGCGTAAATATCACCTAAGAAATTTGTGTTACACTAGAATGCGAGCAAGATTGAATATATATATGTGTGTGTGTGTGTCTGTGTGTGTGTGTCGGTGTGTGGATATGTGTGGGGGTGGAAAATTGTTCGTTATTTCTTGTTTCTTTATTTATTCCCTTCATTTTCGTTCTTCGTCCATTTTCTTGTTTCTATTTTCTCGACAATATTTTTTCTTTTTCTTCTCTTCTTTTCTTTTTTCTAGTAATACTTCGATCTACTTTTCTTCTTCCTCTTCTAATCAAATTTCTTTATTCTTCATATTTTCGTCTTTTAATATCTTCTATTTTCTTTTCCTTCTTTCTAATTTTATCATCCTTTTTCTTTGTTCTTGTCTCCACTTCTTTTATGATCTTTTTCTTAATCTTTCACCTCTTATTTTCTTCCCGCTAATTCTCCTTCCTTTTTTCTTCTACTGATCAAGCTTATTCACACTTTCTTCCTCCTCTTGTCTTAAAATTATCTCTTTCTTTTTCTTCTTTTCGTCAACTTTCTTCTTCTTATTCCTTCCCCTATTCTTTATAGGGCCCTTTCTTATTTTCTAATTACCCCTTAATTTTCTTGATTAATTTTTGTTTTCTTTTCATTTTTCTGTTTTCTTCTTCTTCTTCTTCTTCTTCTTCTTCTTCTTCTTCTTCTTCTTCTTCTTCTCCTCCTCCTCCTCCTCCTCCTCCTCCTCCTCCTTCTTCTTCTTCTTCTTCTTCTTCTTCTTCTTCTTCTTCTTCTTCTTCACTGTCTTTAATTTTCAAATTTGCCTTCATACTCTCTTTATTTTCCCTCAGATTTAAGTCACCATGATTCTTTTTCTTTATATTCGCTTTTCTACTCACGTTTTTCCTTCCTCGTGCCAAAATTTATCTCTTTATTTTTCATTTTGTATAATTCCCATTTTATCGTTTGCAAACACGGATAATTTCTATTTTAAACTGTACTTTTCACTCAGTATTTACTAGAAGAAATCTGCACCACGAAAAATGAAGCAACCCTAAAATAAAATATTTCATTGTTTTTCTTTCGGGTACATTTCTGATCGTTTCTATTCTCCATACACCACAATTTAATGAATATTGTTTTTTTCTTTCTATTTGCCTATCTACAACGAGAATCTAATGCCTTTCTTTATATCTACTTTCAACGTGATTTAATTCTATATCTTTATCTATCTATAGGGAGATTTCCTTCTTTTTATTTTATATGCATATCACGATATTTAATTCTCTTCCTTTTTCTAAGTCTACAACAAGATTTCATTTTCTCTCTCTCTCTAACGAAATTACATTTACTTTCTGTTTATACCAACATTTTCTCTCTATCTTTTTTCCCTCTCTCCCTCTCTCTCTTTATTTCTTTGTTTCTGTTTTCCTTCAACAAGATTTAATTATTTATATCATTGTCCACATTCCAGATTTCATTCCATTCTCTTTGTTACACAATTTTTTAATGGATTAATGGAGAAAACAGATCGTATTATTTTGTTATTCTGTAATATGAAAACTGCAGTATTTTTTACATGTCTATTTGTGCTGCTGCTTTTCTTTCTTCATTCACTCCAAGACGTTTGATAGAAACCATAAATCTATAACGTGTTGTCAGAAGTTTTATGTTTAAATTCTAATACATACCAAGCAGCAACGTTTAACATATTACTAAACCGTCCCAGATTGTTCCTTATCGCGTACACAATTGAGAAACACTAAAGTAACTGGCATTTTCATTCCATCGGCGTATGCATAATCGTTTTATTTTGTAAATGTTGAGTTGATTCTAATTTTAATTGAACTAGCATTTATTATGGCAGATACATTCTTCACATGAGTATTGACGGACTGAACAAATGTTTAAGTTATTTAAACAAAAATGCTAACTCATTTTTGATGGCCGACAATCTGACAAAGGATAATCCAAGAAATTAAGAACGGTGCTACTGATAAAGGCTGGAATTTTACATTTAGTAAATTTTAACTATAACAAAGAAAAAATAACGATCTAACCTATATATGAAAAGATTGAAACATATACCAAGCCATAGAATAATCATATTCCTTATCTGATTTCGTCTTCGATGCCTGAAACAAGATAACATGATTTCGGCTCTATAACCAAGTCAAGATTAAACATTCGTGAAAGAGGATGTGCTGAAGAAGCTAAGGATGAAATGCTGAAGAAAACATTAATGTTTCGTCACGAATCTGAACAGATTCGCAGAAATGCCATTATTCTATAAAATTCAGTAATGTAAACATTGAAGCATATTTATGCTCTAGCAAACTTGGAGGCGAGTTCAGATGGTAACAGAAAGGAGAAAGTGTCCATGATTTGAGGAGCAGAATCAACTGGGCATTATATTTCAAAAGTACCCAAAAGATTCCAAAAATGACAAGAGTATATAACACAAACGTTAGCCTTACGAATGAAGAAAAAAATCGAAAAAGCAACTCTATGAAGCCTAAAGCCCCACAAAAACCTTTGATATTGCAAAATTAGTATCAGCTAATCCGGCTATTCTTGAATTCAGCCAAGCAAAGGAACTATGGATTATTTCGGTCAGTTTGGATTAAGTTATAAACGGCGATGTCAGAAGTTTCAACATTGACCAGAAATGGGGGTATAAGAAAATGGAAATGTTTCTTTGATAGAATTAAATGTTACCTCGGAGAGAGACACAGTCATATTCAAAAGCCAGTGATGCACCCACTAAGGCCAGTTCCAGTGCTTATTTTACCAACTGCAAAAGTCGAAATTAAAGCAAAATGAAGAAAGAAAATAAAAGGGAGAAAGGAAGAGGGGAAAGGAAGAGGGGGAGGAGTGTTTTGAAGATGACTCAAGGTCTGACCCTCCTGCGTCTGCTACCGCTGAAGAAAACATGCTGATGGATGACAGATGATTGACTATAAATCAAATAGCTAATGCTATTAGCATATAACGTAAGAAAGTTGAGAATATTCTGCACAATGATCTCTGATCGGTGGGTTCCACGTCTTTTGACAGCTGATCAAAAGAGCAGGGTGATCACATCACAGGAAATCTATCATGGATTGAGGTAGATCCAGTTGGTTTCCTTGAACGTTTCCTAACCAAAGATGAGTATTAGGTTAATTACTTTGAGCCAGAGATAATACCCTCCTCATATGCTCCAAAGAAGGTCAATCTGCGGAGAAGATAATGGCCTTAGTTTTTTGGGGGATGAAAAAGACATTCTGCTTATTGACTATATTCAAAAGGCTCACACCATCAATGGAGAGTACTATACCAACTTGTTGAGGAAGTGAAAGGCCAAGAAGACCAAACTCTAAGGAAAACTGACGAAAGGGATTTTGTTTCCTCAGGACAATGCTCCAGCACACAAGTCCTTGGTTTCAATGGCTGCTTCGTATGACTGGCTTTCAACAGGTTAATTACTCTACCTATTCTCCTGATTTGACTATCATCTATCATTTATTCCCCAACAGGAAACAAAAACACTTCACAGTGATGGTGATGTCATATCTCCTATTTATGACTTTTTTGACAAACAGGATGAACAGACACCTTTATACAGTAATATGTCAGTTTAGCGGGGAATAAACAATGTATTTATTAATATGCAGAGTTGAAATTAATACATGCCAAATTTCACATCTCTAGCATCACTCCTTCATAATCAAGCTGTGAACTTTTCAACCCACCCTCGTATTATATTTTATGCTACAAAATTAACCCCATGAAGGACGATGATTAAGCACTGATGGTGATCAACTCAGATGGTGATCAGCGTCAGATATGTCAGATCACCATATATATATATATATATATATATATATAGATAGATAGATAGATAGATAGATAGATAGATAGATAGATTACGGGGCTAATTATGTTTAAGTTAATGCCGGCAAAGAATATATATGATATACGGTTTTATCATATATTCATAGCGATTTACACAAGCAACTATAACTTTGGACGCCCACACGCATACACGCATGCACACACACACACAGAGACATATAGTCATAATAATACAGATAAGTATATATACGCGTTCTGTATTATATATATATATATATATATATATATATATATATATGTGTGTGTGTATACATACATACATACATATATATTTATATATATATATATATATATATATATATATATATATATATATATATATATATATATATATATATATATATATATATATATATATATATATATATATATATATATATATATATATATATATATATATATATATATATATATATATATATATATATATATATATATATATATATATTTTTTACGGATTAATTTATTGACATATATATATACATATATCGTATTTTTATATATCTATCGAAACTAATCAGGCAATTATTTTGGGTTTCAAAATCCATTACATTCCTTTTCATCTAATATATTCTCTACGTAAATGTAATCAATTTCTTCAATAGGCGAAATATAGATTTTATAGCAATGGAATGCGCTAAACTGTATCCAAGATTTTATCTGAGAGAAAAAAAATATTACATAAACTTCGTCTGCCATTTTAAAAATATTGACGTCTTTGTTTCAATGCTTGCGTTGCTCTGAACTGTATTTCTGTTATCTCAGCAAGAATTTAACTGGTTTCGTTGAAATTTCAAAAACTGTTGATGCCTGTACGTAAATACTTCATTTCACTGAATTAAGACGAAAAAATGATGGGATCAGTATTAAGAAATGTTATTTCCGTGTTACACAGTGTAACGCTTAAAGAAACACAAATCTTTAGTAACCCTAAAGATTTAGTAACCCTAACCCTGTCCACTACAATAGATAGATAGATAGATAGATAGATAGATAGATAGATAGATAGATAGAAATGAAGAAACAGGATACGAAAGCAGAATGAAAGCATTATTATTTTGATACAAAGCTTGTTTGACATGATCATAACCTGCCTTATCCACATATTGTCACCTCAAATTTTTTAACAAAAAAAAATCCTAGTCCTCACAATGCTGGGGAGAAGCGGAATTCAACAGGCAGAGGGCTCAATATTAAGTGCGTTTGTAGATATATTTTTGATCACTATATATATTCATGTTTTTTTTTATTTACTCGTGCTGTCAAAAATGGCGAAAATGCTTGATTATTTTGAAAATTAATGGAACTTATAAAACGCCAAAACGTTTTCTTGCTCTTTTGCAATATTATTTTTTTTAATAATTTGCTGAACAACATTGTATTTCCCATTGAGTAATTTCTACATTAGCAGAAAAATGAAAATATTTTTATTTACCAAGATTTTGCTTCTAAACTCAGTAATCCCGTTTTATTGAAAATGCTAATAAAATATTTATGCAAAAGAAAAAAGACAAAATGGAAAAAAATAGTCACACACACAAGTTTATAAGCATTTGTGTTGAAAAACTGTATTATTAGATCTATCATTACTCTGTAATAATGATATTTATTTATGTCATTAGTTCTGCTATTTTATTTTTGGCTTCATGTTCCCACCGACATAATGGCAAGTGTATTGCCACAGATTTCGGCTTAGATCTTAGCTGTCATACAGCCTATTTGGCGCACAAATTTGGCAGCTTGGGGACCAATAACGTTGAACGTCTCGGCCGCTACTAGCACAAAATTATATTTGACCGACATTGATCTATTTCACATAGCTATATTTCACACCTCCGCCTGTCGGGCAAGAAACCTAGATGATTAAGGAAAGATTGCCATTTGCAAATTAATAGTCTCAGATAAGTGACAACACCTTCTAAAGAAAAAGAAATGTTTCAATCTGGTCGTCACCCATATGCTCGAGCAAG